ATGGCAGCCTGGCCAAAGCACACTTCTGGGCTTCCTTTGAGATTGTTTGGAGGTGACCTTACTTGATCTGTTGCCCTTTAAGTCCACCTTTCTTCATTTCCTAGCCAACGTGTCTAGCCCACTTGAAAGACAGAAGGTCATGAAATGTTATCTGATGAGAACTGATGAGGAAAGGAAGGGAAAAAGATGGACCATTAGAAAATAAAATCAAATGGGTTCCATGTCACAGATGGGAATGGAGAACTCCACAGACATCTACTTTGTGGGGTTTTAAAGAAAGGGGTTTCCGATGGGCCATTCCCTTCTTTCTACTTTATGATGATGGGAGAAGTCAGGGAGAAGGGAAGGAGAGTTACAGAGACAGAGCAAGCGATTGCGTAATGGACTTTTGTTCCCGTACCTTTGGGCAGAAAAGCTGCTTTATGGGAAACTGTCGACTGCCGTCATTACATAAGAGAACATGTGTCCAGACATCTGTGACCTAAATAACGTTAAACTAGTGATTAGAATGGAGACTGGGGATTTGGGAGAATATTCTTTTTTTCCATTAGAACAATGCATCAACAGGGGGGAAAAGAAGAACATAAGGATGAATGGCTGTATATTTCTCCTCCTATAAGGAGTAATAAAAACTCTGAATATATGAGGACAACCACATCCTAGGTCAAGCTATGATCCAATCGATCCAGCCATGCTGAAGATTTTTCCAAATCCTATGCAGAAGTTTCTTCCTATCCCCAGTGACTGGCTACCTTTCAATAGGAACTGCTGGAGATCAAGCCTATCTCCTTTGCAGGCAAAGGATTTGCTTTCTCATCAAAGTTAGGATTCCTTCCGAAACATTTTCATGCAGGATCTCCTGTTATAACTTTCCATCTTAGGCTCCTACTAAACATGCCAAGATTCCCAAAAATCTTCAGCCACATCTGTTCAACTTGCTTCCTGCACCTGATGTTAGTAATACTGTATTGAGATGAAGCATTTTGCAACTTGTTTTACAATAAGAGGTCTCTCCCCCTGTATTTTACAAGAAATTGTTTTAAAATATCCAGGGTCATTTGGGGACAGCTGTTTGGTACCTCTCAAAAGTTAATGTCCTTTGTTCCAGGCTGGATTCACGTACCTAAGAACTGCCGTTGTTAACAGCTGTTTTTAAAATAAATTTTCTAGCTTATGAGAGTACAGACTAATCTTTGAAATGCCGAATCAAATATTTGAAAGCAGAGGGATTCTCTGTCTTGTGTAATTCCTTGCCTATCTCAATTTATGACTCACAAAAAAGGAACGATGTTTAATAAAACAATATGTGGGAAGAAAGGTTATGTAATTTTGCATGTTTTAGACAGGGTGCTGGGTTGTTCAGTTGTACAGCTAAATGCTAAATATTTTCCTTGGAGCAAAAGCTATGTGCAGTGAAAAACTGGAACACCCTTATTTTCTGAGTTCACACCGAACTATGTTCTAAAAACAAAGATCAAGAGCGAATTACGATGTTTTGAGTGTTACATTCCGAGAGTTCAGTTTTGCATTAATTTGGCAACTGCAGTGTAAACACCAGGATTTAGAGCATGCTATAATTGCCTGTCTGGCCCTGTAAAATCTGCATAGATCACACCCAGCATTTGTACATGGCTGGTCAATCTGTAGTAGTGTTTCTCAACCTTAGCAATTTTAAGATATGTGGACTTCAACTCCCAGAATTCCCCAGCCAGCATGGCTGGCTAGGGAATGTTGGGAGTTGAAGTCCATCCATCTTCAAGTCTGCACATCTTCAAGTTGTCAAGAGAAACACTGGTCTAATAGATTAATTCTCATTTGGTTAAAAAAAAAAAAAAAAGGAACTGGATACAGGTCAGTGAGCAGCAGCCTTCAAGGGAAAAGCTGCACTAATAAACTGGGTTCCTGCAAATGCCAGATTAAGCTAAGAAACCTACATAGATTTGTCTTAGCATGTTCTGTCATCAAGGTAAGCCATAAAGGGTTGGTTTGGACACAGCATGTTATGTGAACATAATGGTGCACTTTTAACCCACATTTAGGGTTACAAAATCTCACCCAAGAATCTCATGCAAGATTTTGATGTATTCATCTGAGAGCATTGTGATTTTGCAAGATAAGGCCATTTTCAATTTTATTTATCCATTCGCTCAATTTAAGGGGGTTGCAAGAGGCACTTGGTGGTAGGGATGGGCAAAAGATGCCCTCATAGGCACCGCATTGCTAATCTTTCAATCCATCTTAATACTCATTGTGGTGTGTTTGCGTCAATGATCAGTAGCAATTACCTTCATCTCTGAAATAACATCTCCCTAACCATGAGGACTAGAAAATTAAAAAATGCAGAACCTTGGAGTATAGAGGGAAATAACAGAGTTCATCACTAGAAACAATAACCAAAATTCAGTTTAGCACCTTGTCTCTATCACACAGTGGAAGGAGACTGCAGTAATGATTAAAAACATTTCTCGTTCTTCTTCCAAAGAAAAAGCCTTAGCCCTGCTGATTCAGAGCCAACGATACGCCCACTTCAGCAGATGTCAACAGCTCAATGTGCACCCTGGGATATGTTTGACTAATGTAGCGAAGGATTAACTCTGTCCCCAGTGCGCTGTTTAATCATCTAAATATTCTAATGGAACAATTCCCCCATTCAATAGAAATGTGAGATGTGATCTAGCTCACTCATCTAAATTATAATCTGGTTTGGTTTTGGTTTAGCTTGATGTGCAAATCCATCCCTTTGGCTTTGTGTCATTTGAAAACCATTTTAGAGTTCTCAGCACGCCACAGTAGAAAACATCCCAGTGGGGTTATTTGTGAATAGCCATTGGAATTTAACAAGCACAAGAATTGGTGACAAAATTGCTAGGATATTTCCAGCTGGCCTAGAATGTGAGTGAGTAGAAAGAATATTCTGGGGAAAGAGTCTGTGTCTCATAGCAAACTGAATCAAGGCGGGATTGGGTTTCTTTCTCATCCTTCCTTCAATCTCTGGGCTGTTTAATCTCCAAGTCCCTCCTTAATGGTTTGCTCATTCCTTCCCCCATTAATGGGTCTCCCATACCTGGCCCAAGATCAGCTCTAAATTCCTCTACAGATCCCAAGATTTACCAACCAGAAATAAAATCAAGGCAGCAGAAGCTGGATATGAAATGCTGATTGAAGAATACAATTATTTGCTGCAACTCCTAAGCCACAGGCTGGGATGACCTGCCCATAGAAAGTTTCAAGTGAGTCAGTTACAGATAGCAAATTTAATACAACTCCCAAATTTATTAGCAGTCTACAGAACCACTTTAAAAGGGGCAAGTTTGGCCATGAGAGATCTCCACATCCCACATCTTGGAAAGTAGCTTGCTATTATTAAACCACTTGAAGTCAGGAAATCAATTGATTTTGGTAGAAAGCATTCTATGAGACAAATCGTACAGAATTACCAAGTTGAGAAAGTTATATAAATTAAAACGAATTTTTTTTTTGGCAGGGCTGGGGGTTTGTATTTTAATGATGACTATCTTCTATTTTTAAGAATGGTTGTTTTTATACATTTATTGTTTTATTTAATTGTTGTACACTGCCCAGAGTCACTTTTTGTGAGATGGGCGGCCATATGAATTTGACTGATAAACAAACAAATAAAAGATTTTTGTGTAGTGAAAGGTGATCAAAGTGTGCAACTGGTAACAACACTGTTGAACTAGACACAAGATTCAAAACAAGAAGGCGTGCTCACATATCCTATACTCCTTATCTCTAGCCATGATGGGCTATCTCGTTAAATTATTCCCAGGAGGGGATCTCATTTACTCCCTACTTCCAAATAAACTTTGCATTGTTTCTGGTTTCAAAGACTGGATTGGAAACTGGGATCTAAGTGATTTCTCTGCTCTAATTGAGAATAATGGTTTTAATAAATCATGGAGAGAAGCAACGAAGGGAGATGTGCAAGAGAACATATTTTGCACACACATGCACCAACACAGACTTATACCGAAAAGGTGGGTAACCCATGGTCCCAGGACTACACAGAACTCCAAGTATCTTATTTTGCTTCTGAATTTAATTACAACAATGAATTTGGAAGGTGTGATGGACAGCATGCTTTTTTTCTTTTCCAAAATAGGAAAGACATAAAACTGTAGCACAAACTTAAAAATGAATGTGAGACAAAACCAAATCAAACTAAAAGTTCACTGAATTCCTTGGGGAAGCCCAGAAAAATTCTTTACTTCCTAATGAAAACCCAGAAAAGGTCTGGCCCTCAGGGATAAGACTGGCCCCATTCCTGCTGCAATTCCAGGAATCTATTAAAAGCTGCCTTTTCTGGAAGGGCTTTGAGGATGGGTGAGTGGTTGGGCAGAAGTAGCGCCAGCTGATTATAGATTGTTGAGATGGTTATTTTAGTCATTTGAATCATGTGCATTTGCTGTATTTTAACCTTGTTAGTGGAACGAGAAATGTACCCTATTCAGAGTGATTGTTAATAAGAGTGGCATACAAGCCTCAGTAAGGAAGGAAATAAAAGTGTGATATGACCTGCCCGTTCTGTATCATCACCATCTGCAGGGTTCTTGCCTTCTCCCCAGATGTTAATAATGGCTTCCCAGTCATCAAGAGACTGTCCACCTCCACCATGAAGTTTAATTTCTTCGCCAACATTCTATCTCTGAACCAGACCAGAATTTGTCTTCCTTCCCCAAACAGTAATTTATCTGGGGCACATACTTGAAACAGTCAAATTCAGATGATTCCCCCATTTAACTGCCTGGCTCTATTTTCAACAAGTGTAATTTAAAGCAGGGAAAGAAAATGGACTTATTTTCAGTTTCTAAGCATTCTTAATGGATGAAGTGGGAGATTCCTATCCAGGCGATTGATGGATCAATGCGATTTTTAAAAAGCTCAAACAAAGGTCAATATGGCATCAGCGACTCCTCTTCTTATAGGCTACAGAAAACATCCTTCAACACATTCAAATCAAACCCCCAAAGCAAAATAGGCAAGGATCAGCCAACAGATTGTCAGCTCATTTATTAAGTGGACTCACTGGAACAGTGGAAGATTCCGAGCAAAAAGCTGAAAATCCACAGTAACATTTAAAACCATTGTAGGAGAATCAATTAAATATATAACAAGTTCAGTTGGGCAGCAAGGCTCCTGCCTCTGACCTGCTGCTTAACTCTAATCCATACCAAACAAGATGGGAGTAAAAATGCCTTTTTTCCATCCAAGAGGGTTCATCTGTCTCCTCTGCATATACGTTTTGCTGGTTATTAATACTGCAATCCTACTGCCATAAAATAGTACCAGTTTAAAGATACCATACTCCTAACCACCTCGTTATACCAATGCCTTCTCTAGCTTAGTTATCTCCAGATTTTTCAGATGGGGAAAAAAGTCCTTGTGTCTTAGCTAGATTCATCCATCTCATCAAGCGGCTGTGTGTGGACTTCAATTTTCTTGGGAGGAATGTAGGATCCCATTCCTGCAGCTCTCTCAGCTTCCTCCTGGGTATAGGGCTCCTCACTCAGCTCTTTCAGCCTTAAAAAAAAAAAACACAAACAAGTCCAGGAGGTTTGCAAATGCTAATATTCCAGCTGATGAAGAACACAAAGCCTTAACAGAAGCCCACCTTCTTTGCCAGTGGCAGACATTTCAACTATATATTTGCTATAAAAATACCAGATGATAGATGACAGACAGACAGACATGCCATTCAGAAGGGACAGTTCCAGTTCAGGAACATGGACTGATAACAGGGTGAAATATTGCCCAAGATGCTTTCCCACCACATTTATATAAAATTAACATTACCTTTTTTTGTGTACTTTTGATCTGAAGTGATCCTTCATGCTTTTTAAGTCAATAAAGTATCGCCTAAGGAGAGAGAAGAAAAAAAAAAGCATGCTGTAAGTTGATGGAGAGTCAGTTGGGCCTAGGGATTAAGCTGCTGGGCTAGGTGCAGAGAAAACTGAATTCTAGTTTTATTTTAAGCACAAAGTCAACCCAGGACTTTGGGGCAGTCACTCTCTCTTAGCTATAGGAAGAAAGCAAGGGCGAGCCACTTTTGCAAAATGCTGCTTAGAAAACTGCATGGAGTTGTCCATGGAGCTGCCAAGAATCAAGACTGGCTTGAAGGCAATCAGTCAGTCAATCAATCAGGATATATTTTGCTCAAATGCAGTTATGGGCCTATTAGGCCAAAAAGATTATCATAGCTACAGACCAATCTTTAATGTCATTTCAGTTTCTAAAATGTTTTCATCTTGCCATAGCATGAGAACAGACTCTGTTCACAACAGGTAAGATGGGAAAAACTGCACTCCGCTAGGAATAATTCCACTCCCTACCACTAACATCAAAACCATATTTAGGCTGTATCAGCAAAGGCCTTTAATAGCAGCTAACACTAACCTGCTTCCTTCCTTCATGTCTAAATCTTGCTTTCAGGTCCCAACTAACACACCCAAGTTAGAAGGGAATCCTGACAGCACTAAATGTAGTTAAGGTTTGTGCCGATAAACCCTTCAAATCAGGTTAGAGCTGCGGGCACTCAAATATGAATAAAGTTTCTTCTGCTTGAAAGCGGTGAATGAGGCTGGGTGACCTGCCTCTGGCCTGGTCCCAAAATTAGGCTCTTTGGATGTCCTGGGCTGCAGAAAAGCCAGATTAACTGCAGACTTGTGCCTTTTGAACCTCCTGTCTTAAAAGAGAACTGTGCTACAGGGCTATCATAAGCTGCTCTTAGTTACATCCCCTCCCCAATGAGGCTATAATGAGCTGCACAGGATTATCAAATGTTTTTAAAGTAGTGACCAGATTTGGGCTGCAGTTCAAGAAACAACCTCTCTTCCTCCTCCTTCCTGCAGCCCCCACAAATGAAAGGAAACACAACATCCCAGCCTCATCTTTGTTCCCCTTGTTTACAATTAGGGCTCCAGCTTTGAACTGCAAAAATCTGGACAGGATGATGGCAGGGCAATACAGAACTCTCACTCTTTGTTACCACCTAGCAACCACCTAGGTTTCTTTTGCACCCAAATTCGTTTAATTAAAAAAAAAAAATTAACCCCATAAGACTTGCATTAGCGTTTTCATTTTTTTTTTTAAAGCAGATTCTTTCGTCTTCCTGCATACATTCTGCAGCTAAAATCCTACACTTCGATGGGCAACTCTCGTTTCTGTCTAAAAAAGCGTTTTTCAACCTTGGCAACTATAAGATGGGTGGACTTCAAGAAGAAGTCCACCCATCTTAAAATTGTCAAGGTTGGCAAATGCTGATCTAAAGGAACATGAAGTTTTCTATCCCACAACCGAGGAAGTTGGTCGGCTCTAATTCTTATGTCTATATGCCTCGGGCATTCCAGGGGAAAGAGCCATTCCACGCACGCGCAGTAAATAAGACCAACTTCCCCAAGGAAAGCCCAGCCCCTCCCCCCGCCTTTCTCTCTTGACGCACGCGCAATGCAGGCAGTAGTGCTGCGCGTTGCCAGGCAGGTCGGGATCCAGCTCCTGGCGCAGCAGCTTCTGCGCGTTCTCGGGTAACATGTCCTGGTGGATCTGATCCAGGTCTCGCCGCCGCCGCTTCGCTTTCCACTGGCGGGCCAAGGAGTGCGTTTTATGCGAGCCCGTCCGACGGGAGCTCCTAGGAGCCATGTTCCGCTTCGGAACCTCGCCGGGGAGAGAAAGGAAGCTCCCTTCCGCTTCCGGTAGGCGCGCGTGACGTCATCTCACGGCGCCATCCTTTGGGCGCTTTCAAAGTGATTTGAATATGGATGAGATGCAGCTCCGCAGTCAGTCATGATTACGAATGAAACGACCGATGAGAGCACCGAGGAAGCATAACTTCTATGAATATCTCTCTCGATATTTAATATATGTCTCCAAGTTTCCACAATTTATCTGAATGTAATAGCTGGGAAAACAAATGCAGACATAAGTTAGATGACATAAACTAACCCAGTGTTTTTCAAACTCAGGACTTTAAGATGTGTGGACTTCAACCCCCAGAATTCCCCAGCTAGCATGGCTGGCTGGGGAGTTCTGGGAGTTGAAGTCCACACATCTTAAAGTCAGCGAGTTTGAAAAATACTGAACTGTCTTAACATACTTCAAATATTGATGGTGCACCTCAACTCAAAGCCTTATCTACCAAGATACAAAGCTTTGCAGCTTAAAAATAACCAAATCCAGAGAAAAGCAGTTGCAGCTGATCGACAAACAAGCAACATGACCTGAAATTCATTAAAGGGCTTTTCAAATCAAGCGAACATATTTATTTATTTGTTGGATTTACTGTATTTCTGCTATAGTTGCCATTCGAAGCTGCTGGTAACTAAATAATATGTTTAATTAACATAGTCCAGTAATTACTAAAATACCATACACTTAAATAGTTATTGGTTAGTGTTATAATTGGGAATATTGGTGTACTCCTAAAAATAAAGGTGCCTCCTTGACTTTAGCCACAGCATCTGTACGGTTTTCTTGGCAGCATCATGGAATTAACTTTTCAGTGCCTTTTTCCAGGATATTATAGTGTGATCCTGTTCTCCCAGCATTTCCACAGGACAAGTACCTCCACTCCAATTTCCTCACAAAGCCATGTGAGGCCCACCCACAATCATTCACTCTTTTTAAAGTCAGAATGTATGATGTGGAAGAGCTCTTAGAGGTAATCGAGTCCTGCCTCTTCCTCAGGGCAGTAATCCACTAAACCATTCCCCAAAGCTCTATTATTTCCGATAGAAGAATGCAAAGAACAATACAGTATTCAATCAGTGTCCTGCCCAGGGAACCACCACCCAAAATCTAATCATCTCTACAATGCATAAAAAGACATGTGTTTCTAATTCCTCCATCCATTTTTCAACACATATATTTGTGTGCATTTCTGATGGTTGAGTGCATTTATCACATGTAGATCCTTCTCACCCTTTCTTTCAAGGAGCTTGGCATAATATGTACCATTCTCTCCAACCATATTTTATCTTCTTAATAACTCAATGAAGTTGATTGAGGTATATACAGCTGGTCTTAATGCCTTAAAAGTAAGTTTGAGAACTAACTGGAATTTTAACCTGGGTTTCTGCAGACATAGGCTGGGTTCACCAAGTGCCATGTGTTGTTTTGACTATTACTTGTTGAATTAACTACAATGGCTGGGCTTATGCATTATAGTAAGCCATAAATCATAGTTTGCAAATCACAATGGCTGAGTTCACAAAATAGGCTAAGCATGATGTGCAGCTTGGCTTCTAAATTCCTTTGCATGTCAGGCATTTGTTGGTTGGTTGTTTTGGCAAAAAGGTTATTTTTAAACTGATACTAGGTAGGGTTTTTTAGTTCTGCGCTGTTGGGCAGTTCTTACAATTTTGTTGCTGTTTGTTAAACTTCACGTTTCTTGTTGTAACACTTCCGTTATTAGTAACTGTGTATTATATATAAGATAATGCAGGTTGCTTTTTTAAAAAGAAAACTAATACAGTTTCAGCCTATATTTCCTTGTCTGGTTGCACTTCTGGATCTGCCATCCTTTGAAAAGAGAAGCCACCTTCCTGTGGCCTCCCAGACCTTTATCCTTCCTTGGAATTCCACTTGAAATCTTTGAGATGAAAGTAACGAATGTAATTCCATTTCATTAAAAGGCGGTGCTGCAGTTCACCACTGCTTAATGTGGAGTCAAAAAAAGTGACCCTTTGACCTAGTACACTCTTGGGCTTTGTGTGTGAGTGCTTTCCTGGTATCCAGCTAATCCTCTGTGAAGGAAATACACATCCCAAGGGCTTCTCATCCAATGATTGTGTAAGCAAAGGGCGATAACCCCACTGGCCTGACCAGGTTTTATTTGGGGTCATTACATTGTATTGATCTACATCTCTTGCTCTCATGTTGATCACAGTATTCTCTTTCCTGTTCTACAGTGTTAATACATACATACATACTTACATGCTGCCCTATGTTATAGCAGGTTACACTTCTCTGGGAAGGAGTCTGCATGGCATGAACGATGATCTAACTGCAAAATTATGAGCAGCATTTCCCTTCTGGATGGAATAACTAAAATGTCTCTTGGGGGATTTGGACCTAATGACCTTGGCCTTTTTCTTGATCCAAATCTACCACAGGACCCCACTGATTCCAGCCTTTCATTAAAGTAATAATGAAAAATAGGTCATCAGCTCCACGATATACAAAAGAAAGAAAATCAAATTGTATGCAAAAAAATACAAGATTTTTCCTTCTTAGCAATCAGTAAACCTTAGGTATTGAGATCATCCAAATATTATAAATAATATTATTATATCACATCTTGAAGTTTTGACACCACAAGCTTTTTGGTGAGTGAACTTAAAACCCATTTCTTATTAATAGATTTGCGTGGGCGCTCAAGTCTAGTAGGATTTTATGCCCCACTTTTCCATCAAGTCAATATCTTGCCATGGGTTAACAAGGCTGAGTGTATATACCTATGGCAGAAGTGGACAGCTTTCTGAAGCTGGAGTACTGTGCACACACACACTTTGGTCTCCAGTGCTTGTAAGGTATGTGTGGCAGTGTGTAATGATGTCACCAGATGGGGTAGGGCTCAGGTTTTGGGGGGAGTTTGTGAGAGAGGTGTTCCCTTCCCACATATCAGTTCATTCGAAAATTAATAGTTCTCTCCCTTCTTCCCATCTCCAAAGAAGCATCAGAACTTCTCAGTGCCATAATTTCCACTGTTGTTCCAGTTGACCTCCAAGTCACAGTCACCCTCACTAAACATTGGGTGTGAAGAGGAAGTAAGTGCACATATTGATCCCAAGTTTGAGTTTGAACAAAATGCACTTAAGAACTCTTGGATCTGAACAGGCTTCCCAACACAGCTCAGTTTTGGGAAGGGCCCACATCTGATCTATATTGGCTGTGTGAAACAGCAGAAATGGGTTTGTGGAATTAGGATGTGGCTGTCAGCACAAGACAAAGGAACAGCTGCCTGTTCATTAGCTACTTGTGATCATGTTGCTGCAGCAGGCTGAGAAATAATAAGACATTTACTGACATGTAAAGGCAGTGGACAGGCATCTGTCATTAGCTAGGGGGAGAAGGGCCCCAGCTGAAGCAAGTTGGGTGATGGAAAGAGAACATCTCCCTGCCCTCTCTCCAACAGTTAGAGCATAATTTGGAATGTGACAGACAAGCAAGCTTCCTTGCAGGTTTTAAGACACAGTCTGGACATTTGACAGAGTGGGAGGGGAGATTGGCATTCTGCCTAAAGCAGAAACTAAATCCAGGAAGGAGAAGACACCGGTCTGCAAGGCTATCGGCCCTACAAAATAATTTATCTGTCAGTGGCTATTTTGAGCCTGCTGCTGAACTCCTACGTTCCAGAGCCTGTTGTTGCAGGAGATCAGTTACAGGGTACAGACAATGGGGTGTAATGCAACAACTTAGGAAGGCTTTCCTTTTCAGTTTCTTTGAGATTCCAAAGTGGGAGAAACAGTCTGCTTGGGATTAGGGAACTTCTGGAGCCAAGTGGGACATTCTGAAGATGAGGAGGCTTTCTACACAGAAAGGGTCTTTGCCCATAAGCAAAGTCTTAATGAACAAGGGTAACCAGCAAGGATTAGTTTTCCAAGTGTGAGTTGAAAAGGCAATCATATTTTTGCAGAACCTATCTGGGGATGGGATGCATAAAGAAGACAGAACCAAAGATGCTCCTGTTGTTTCCAAGAGCTGTCATCCATTAGTATTCTGGGTCAGCCACGTATCTGATTCTACTTTGTTCTTTGAGATGAATGCTGTATGCTTCTGAATTGTTAATGAAGACACCAGATCTAAGGAGGAGGCAGCCAGAAACAGGTGTGAAGTAGCAGGACACGCTAGCTTCTATCTGAGCTACTAGTATCCTGCAGAGCCCCCAAAGCAGCTGGGTGCTGTGGCACAATGGCCACTGGAACTTAACTTGCTCAGAGCTCAGTGTAGAAACTGAAGAGGGAACTGCAAAGCTTAAAGCGTCACTTGCTGGGACCCTCTTGCATCTGGAGAAACTGAGACCACAGAAGCTGAACTGGCTGTTGCAACAATGACTCAGGGATTCTGGAAAGTCTACAAGGCAAAAGTACTGCAAGCCCTTGGTGGAGAGTTGCAGGAAGAGGATCTCCAAGATGAGGTAGAGCAATCCATGATCAGGCCTCTTCTTTTTTTTCCTGGGTCACTGAATAGGGGTTCACCAACTTTCCCCACCCATTCCAGATAGGTGGACTTTAACTCCCAATATTTTTCAGCCAGTGTAGCCATTGATAAAAATTCTGGGGATTAAAGGCCACCCATCTGGAATGCAGTGGGGAAGATCCCAGATACGTCCTGCTTTTTATTTTATGGGAAATCATTTTTTAGATCAGAATAGGAACAGACAACGTGATATCTGTGGCTATCAATGATCTACTAACATTCTAACTCTTGCAATTTTTAAATAAGTAAGTAAATAAATAAATGGCAGAAGGCATGCTGTAAAACAGTAACACCCTCCAGCATAATCTTTACATTCAAAAATGCCTCGGGGTGGACCACACATACAGTAGGTCTTAGAGGCATTTTGAAAAAGAACAACAATGGGAGGTTGCCACCCAAATTGTTTCTTTCAAAATGAGCCTGTCTGACCAGAAAAAAAAAAGACATGAAAAGATAGTAGGGAGCATCCTGAGATGGGATACTAAAGAGGTTGATAAAGAACAAATAACCAATTTGTCCTCTGATCAGTTGGTTATTTCTGACTAGTGATCCTCAATGTGGCAGCACTTTCTGAATGGGTAATCTTTCCATGCTAGCCAGCATGTGAACAAGCCCACCTCATGATACCAGAACCAAACGTTTCCCCAACCCTAGTTGAAAATGCAGTTGCATCTCTTGATTTAAGAAACCTTAGTTGATTGATTGAATCAGTTTTTGTTCATCTACTGATCTGTTTAAGCCTGAATTAATTTGCCGATGATACAGGAAAGAAACACCATGCTTTCCCCCCCTCTTAGATAGGAGATGCATTGAAAACATCATAACTTTAGTAAATGTGTTATTTACTAAATGTGTTCCTCCCAATCTGGAGTGAAGGTGCTCCATTCTATCCAATAATAATAGTGGGACTGGCTTTGCAGATCATTAAATAACCTTTCGGATTGGGGAGGGGAGATGTTGAAAGATGATTTGCAGCACTTCATTTCAAAATGGAGTTAGACAGCTCAGCTGTCTTTATTCTGCTCTTTCTACTGAATGGGACCACAGATTGCTGTAGAAACAAAGGGCCACTGTTGCCCACTCTTGCACTAGCCGTTCCAACAAGGTGACGTCTTTTTTCAGAGAGAGAATCCTGAACTGGTGGAAACGACAGACTCCATACTGCTGACAGAGGAGGGATTGAACCCTGTTTCTCAGTTGGCTCGGCGGGTAAGAAAAATTACTATTCCCATTCACAGCTGAAGTCTCTTTTAGATTTCTGAAGCTGCTGTTACATTACAGAAAAAGTGCCTGTGTAACCTTTGAGGTCCAAACGAACAGCAACCCCTTAATAAATGTATGATAATGCTAGAATAAAATGGCTGGCTCAGCCTTTTAGGGACATTTGAGTGGGAGGGGAAGGGAATTTGCGAACTCCAGGATAATCAATAACAATAATACATTGATTTCTTTCCAGAATAAGTGGGCACGGTTTTCAAAAAGGGAGCGCAGCAATATCTGTGGATGAAAAGTTGCTAGTCGGGCCAATAGGAAATAGCCTTCCTGTGGTGCGAAAATATGTAGGTATGCATTTGAGGTTGAGCACACAGCTCTAGAAGAAGAAAGTGAGACATATAAGGAAAAATTAAGTGAAAATGTGGTTTTCCTCAAAGTGACAGGTAATTTATACTGGCATCAAGGACATTTCAGGACCATAGCCATGAAATAAAGGGAAGTCTCCTGCTTGAGAGAAAAAGTACAGTATTGCAAATCTACTGTATACAAAATGTTAAAGGGCAGAGACATCGCACTGATAACAAGAGTAGGTATTGTCAGGGCCGTGGCCTTCCTAATTGTAACGCTGTGAAAGCTAGACTTTTTGAAAGGCTGAATGAAGAAAACTGGATGCCTTTGAACTGTGGTGCTGGAGAAAATTGTTGAGAATATCTTGAATTGCAAGAATAGTCCAGTATTTGATAAACACAGTGGAAGCACTAATAATGAAACTATTTGAGACACAAAGTCAAAAGTCACCATAGAAGCCCTTGATATCTTCCAGTGACTTTGATATCACTGGAGAAGACCCCTTTTTCAAACTTGTTTTCGGAGACTGACCATCTTGGGGGACTCCGGGGGCCAAAAAAAAAAAAAAAAAAAAAAAAAGGATGAAGTAACCACTTGTGATCCACAGGGATCACCCACACCTGACCTGGAACCTATCCATCATCTCAGAGATTTTTAGTCAGCCCAGAGAAGAGCACTTAAGAACAGATTCATCTCTTGCTGAGCAGTTGGGTTGAAGAGTTCCAGCACACTGTCCATTACAGCTCCAGAAAGAAAAACAGCCATAAAAATGCCCTTTATGGTTTGAAAGGAAATTGCTTTGAGGGAATGGCTCTGCAGTTTGTCTGAGGAAGCCTCTTGCCATGATGTCTACCAACAAACCAATTGTCTCTTCTTTGATCTTGGTATGTAGGTCCAGGGAGCTGGAGTCAAAAGCTGGAGGACTGTGTCATCTTTGTTCAGTCGGGAGGATGAAGATCAGCTGCTGGCTCCTGAACCTTGTGCAGACCAGTAAGAGAAATCTTTCCTTTTTCCCCCTAACCCTAGCTGCTGCAGTTTCAAAGTGCCAATACAATCACAAGACTTTTAAAATATATATAGTGATTATAACTCTCAAATTGTTTGAATAGGGCAGATATACCTCCATAAGAATGACAGTCTGGTTCCACATTTTTTCTTCTTAGAGAAATAGCATGTACACAGAATCCTCCCTTTACCCAGAATGGCAGTTCATTTTCATAGCCGTAACAGGCACTTACGGAGGAGAACTCTTCCCTCCAAACTCAGATTGCCCTGAATTCCTGCAAAAAACAAAAATGTCAGCCATCAATCATTCACATTCTTGGCACTTGTTTAAGGAACATAACTACCCTGAATGTTTTATTTCCTTATTTTTTTCTGATATGAGCTGTTCTTGGCTATGATTGGCAGAGAAAGCCATTGTTGCCAAGGGAATAAGGAAGGAAATCCACTGGGTTCCTTGTCCTTCTCTAGAAATAAGCTTTAGTGTTTTGTTTTTTAGCCATATACTCCTTGCAAAGCTGTATTAATTTTAGGGAGGGCTGATTTGGTTTTGTCCCATTGTGGCTACTAAAAGCTGATGGTTTTGCATCCTTTTGCAATTACAAATATATGAGTACAGCCAAGGTTAGCAGATAAATATGCAGACAGGACGGTGCCCATCTAGACAGAGCATCAGTCCCTGAAAGCTAATTGCAAACATTCCTTGTTCTCTCTCTTTCCCTAGCTAGAATTGACCAGCTGTTCTTTTCAGCCTTCTGCCCTCCAGTGGGCAGATAAAATGTGACACAAAACAGTTGCATGGCGCTTTCAACCTCCAATAGCCTTTATTTATTTATTTATTTACATTTATTATAGTCGCTCAACTCCAATGGATGTTAGCTTCAAGCTATACTAAAGCTCTAGAAAATATTCCCTTTATTTTTATGATGTCCATTACCTTCTATTCACCATTAAAAAAGCTCAAATAAGGTTAAAACTGTAGAATCCGTTAAAACTACAATAACTAAATCTATAAGCATGCCAAGCTCGAGATATGGTCCAGATGGTGTTATATGGGCCTTATATTCTTTAGGATTGCTATGTACTAACATTAATTTAAGGCTTTTAGGATTAATGTCACGTGTTTCCAGATAGTTTCCCACTTAACTTGGTAGGACGTTTACTGTACGTTCCTTCTATGATAGTTTAGGTAAGCATCTCTTGTGAAACTAAATTGTTACAATCTTGTTATAGGGAAGATTGAAGAGTATATTTTACGTGAGAAATATTAATTTCAATTTCCATTACTTTTAGGTAGGGTTGGGAAAGACTTCTGTTTGAAATTTTGGAGAGCCATTTCCACTTAGAGCAAATTGAAGATCTGACTTGGCATAAAGCAACTTCTTGTGTTTCTGATCTTATCCTTAGAATTTGGAGGACTTATACATTATCTTCTCCTTTCAGCCCTTTAGCTGCAAAACCAGCAGGAGAATCACCTTCCGAGAAGAAGACCTCTGGCCTTTGGGATGTCTTTGCCACTAAGTGGCAGCAAACTTCAGCTCTGGAAAAAATGGCTGCCAAGGTGGATCCCAGGGAAGAAATAGCTGAGGGCAGTGGGATGTCTGGGGAGATGGCAGCTGAGGAAGCCAGTGACCTTGGCCACGACAATGATCTCCGAGAGGCTGAAGGTGTAGCCTTCAAATGGAGCTTCCTAACCAGCAAATTCACTGAGTTGAAGAACAAGAATATTCCCAAAAGTAACTAGGACAGACACAGAAATGGAGGACTTCGAGTGAGTGACCCTTTCCTGGTAATAAAATATTAATTTTATTATTTTCCAACAACTTTCTGGAAAAAGTGCTAGGCTCACTATGAAAGATGCAGTTCCAGATTTGGGTGTTGTTAATGATCGTAACTTTATGAAGCCTTCCCACAGTGTGTGTCTCCAATGCCTCCGTTCCATTCCTCTCCTTTTTTCCTTATAAGACAGTTCCTAAAATAATTGTAATCCTAATGAACACTTTGGAAAATCTTCCTTGCCAGAGACTGTTGCCTGTCAAAAAATGAGAACCTCCTTCTCCACATTCACCTATTTTGATGGCACCAAGAATGATTTTCTAAAAAAGTAGCTGTCACAGAGCTGATTAATCCAAGAGTCAAATCTATGGCTATAGCAGTCTACAAGAAGATCCTGTGACAACTTGCTGCAGTTGATAGACTTGGATGGAGGAGACCTGGATACAGATCCCCGCTCAGCCATGATGAGTTCTATGCAACAGACCTTTCAGAGTTATCACTATATTAAAATGGGAGATCTCTAGGCATGGAAATCCCAAACTCTTCACAAAAAAAGCATGATGCGAATGTTGGTGACCAAAAGTAACTAAATCTGTGCATGGAGACACTTTCCATGTTGTCAGGCAGACCTCAGAGTTAGGAAACTGCTTGGTGATGGTGTTTGCAGTGCAGTTAAACTCCAGGAATTCTGTCTTCTAAAGGAAGGGCTTTGTCTTGGGGAATCTTCAAGTTCAACTCCTGGAACGTCAGGAAGGGTTGGGAAGGATGTCTCCCTTCTAAAGCCCTGAAGGGTTGCTATAAACAACATAGACAGTACCAAGCACCAAGGATTAAAAGACCGGTTTGAGTTTAGACAGTTTCCTTGGCTCCTTCCTCAGACGTAGTTACGAGGCAAAGCACATACCTTGTATGCAGACAAAGTCTCCGGTTCAATCCCTGGTATCTCTCAGCAGGACTAGAAAAAATTCCTATGTAAAATCCTGTTTCAAGGTTGGCTGGTTTGAAGATGATTTTAGATCCTTCTCAAATTATGTTGGGGAATGAAAGTGGAAGAAGTGTCACAAGTAAGAGTAAAATAGCTTTCTAAATTCATAACCTGTGGAAGCTAGCAGTCCAGGTGGACAAGGATTATAATCCCAAAATGTGTCAAAGAAAACTGATTGGAGACTCGTTTTGCTAGATATGTGGAGTAAGGGAGGATTCAGGCTGCAAAATTTGCTATAGTGTAGGGTGTCCAAGATTCTTCTATAATCTTCACTTATTCCTAGCACCTCTATCTTACTGGACAAAGATGATTTTCCTCCTGCAGCACACATGGGCAACAGGTGACTCTCGGGGTGTAGTCAATCTCTAACCTCTCAGCCCAAACCATTATGACCAATGGCACAGCATGATGGGAAATAAAGCTTCAAATATCTGGTGAGGTCCTTGTCCTTTATGAACCAAAAATCATCAGCAGAAAGATTGAAGGAGCTTGCCATTGACAACTCTATCTTATGGATCTCCACTCTCACAATGTTTCTGCTGAAGCTGGCACCATTTTTAAAGAAGAAAGTATCCCTGGATTCAGAATGCTGGCTTGTCATACTGTATAAGACTGTCTACATGTGAGGAGTTCAGCAGTTCTCTGCAGAACTTTCAGTCCATACACCAAGCAGACATTGGACATACCTACCTCATCTATCTGGTAACACCTTCATTTTTCTTCAGATCTTTGTTGATGACTATATCACATTTAAAAAAAAATCCTAATCCATGTAGTTTTTTACAGCTTGAAAAGAGGCTTCTGTTCGAGCATCGGTGTCCTCTGCCTCTCTTCCTCCTTCCCCAACTGTCAGTCCCAAGTAATGTTTGAATTAAGAAGTGTGTTGAAAATTAAATACCTTAACAGCCAGAAATAGCCTCAGATTGATCATTGTCTTTTATGTCATGGAAATACAAGTTTGTAGAGAATTGTAGATGACCTGCTAAACATGGTCCTTGTTCTAATTCCATGCAATCCTTTGCCAAATGTTAACTCCCCTATTCAAGAGATTGGTTCAGACTTCTGCAAAGAGTTATCTGTTAGAATTTTGTGAAGATCCCACCTGAAGATTCAGTTCAAAGACAATTAGATCACACCACCTCTTTGAAGAATTGATATTCAAATAATTGAATCAGATTGCTATTTTTTTTCTGATGTCTCAGAAATTGGGTGTCTCTGAATCAGTTCAACAATGTTATAACCTCTTGTGCATCGCAAACACCTTTCTCTGAATAGATGGTTTGACCCAATTAGATTCCACAGTTTGGATCAACTCAGTTAAATAATTTGAATTATATCTTGGGTGATGTGCACATTTTTACACTCTGCCTCTTTCCTACAGCTTGCTGCTTGGGGAGAGACAACAGAGTATCAGAGAGAAAGGAATTAAGATCCATACCTACCTCACGCCCTGGCTACAGCCAGATCTTGGTTCAGCCCCATCCCACACTACACTCAAGATTTTCTTGATATGCAGCCCTTAGAGGCAGAGAGAAACATGCTTAACTCCCCTTAGCTATAACTATAAGGCAATCTGTAACCATTCTGCACAAATCAGTCAAACAGAGGTATGTGTAAATAATTCTCAAGTTAAAGAAGATAGGGATTTTGCATAATTTTGCAATGTTACCTATGTTGCAGTATTAAGTATTCTGTTTTTGTTCATTAAGGGGGAAGGCATGACATTAAAGTAGGAACTGAAGGACAGGAAATGTTCTACAGCAGTGTTTCTCAACCTCAGCAACTTTTAAGATATATGGACTTCAACTCCCAGAATTCCCCAGCCAGCATGGCTGGCTGGGGAATTCTGGGAGGTGAAGTCCAT